TGAGATAACCTTTTTTTGAAAATTTCGATCGATCTACGGTAAGCTTTTTGCATTGTAATTAGAAATCACGCTGTCAAACCCAGATGCTGTAGAGTTATTGCACAAATTTGGATTTAATGATGAGCTAATTAGTGTTGTTTATGTAACAACATCGAACTAATTGTAATAATGGCGCTAATGGCTGAAGCATACAATCAAAAGCTTTAATAGATTTTTGCTTGAATGACGAAGTGGACTAAAATTTTTTAAACGTTAATCTACTCAATCAAAAAATTACGGATAAGGCAACGAACCATTAATATGCAACGAATTAAATATGAAAATAATAAGTAAGAACAAGCCATTTGCGCCTATTTTATTTAAAATGTGATTCTGATCACTATCCATTTGAACATACCGCTTTCTCAAATTTTTCTAACTCCAACTTTTCCAATTTAAATTCCAACTTTTTCTCAAGTAGACGATTCAATAGCAGGAAAAATTACATTAAAAAACGAAATAAAAGCTTGAGTATGCGACAAAATAAGCGATATATACGAATGATATTTACAAAACTAATTTTTTTTGTAACATATTGGTGCTGCATAATACACCCAACATTTGTGGTTTTGAAATAACCTAAGCAATGAACATTTTTGTACCTAGTGCACATATTGTTCATATTTAGAGTCTAGTCTTAGATTTACGATTTCATACTCTGAAATATGCACTCGAGGTTTGTTTCGTGCTTGGATCCTAGAATTTCTTAGTTATATGTAGTTAGCTGTTAGCGCTTAAGAAACTTTCACACTTGCTCAGGAATGATCTTGTCAATAAATTTACGGGTCTCTATTTCAAGGTGATGGAGCACTCGATCCACGATATGCAAAAGGTAGTTAACAAAGTAATAAGTATGTTCATGCGTCACTTCACATTCCTCTCTAAACGAAACATGGAAGTTGCAGTTGTAACATGGTGTATATTTAGACCCAAGAAAGGCTCACTTTCTTCTCAATTAGACGAACAGAACAAATTCCGCTCCTAGCATGCATTTTACTTATGACA